CTGGAATGAATTTTAGGTCTCTACGTCCATCCCATGGGGAATGGGAGCAGTAACAAAGGTGTTGCGTTTATATTTTTGTTGAGTGTATATAATATACTGAACAAAAATATAAACACAACACTTTTGTTTTTGCTCCCATTTTTCATGAGATGAACTTAAAGATCTGAAACATTTTCTACATACACAAAGGACCCATTACTATCAAATATTGTTCACAAATCTGGTTAAATCTGTGTTAATGAGAACCTCTCATTTGCCAAGATAATCCATCCCACCACCATGTCAAGGTGCTGATTAGACAGCATGTCTATTGCACAGGTGTGGCTTAGACTTTCCACAATAAAAGGCCACTCTGAAATATGCAGTCTGATCACACAGCACAATGCTACAGATGTCTAAAACCAGTCAGTATCTGGTGTGGCCACCATTTGCCTCACACAGTGCAACACATCTCCATTAGATGTGTTGCACTGTGTGAGGCAAATGGTGTGCAATGGGCATAGAGTTGATCAGGTTGTTGATTGAGGGCTGTGGAATGTTGGTCCACTGCTCTTCAATACTTGTGCAAAGTTGCTGAATATTGGCAGGAACTGGAACACGCTGTCATATACACCGAGCCGAGCATCCCAAACATGCTCAATGGGTGACATGTCTGGTGAGTATGCGGGCCATGCAAGAACTGGGATGTTTTCAGCTTCCAAGGAATTGTGTACAGAACCTTGCAATATGGGGCCGTGCATTATCATGCTGTAAAATGAGGTTATGGCCATGGATAAATGGCACAACAATGGTCATCAGGATCTCAACATGGTATCTCTGTGCATTCAAAATATCAACAATAAAATGCACTCGTGTTCACTGTCCATAACCCCACTGCCACCATGGGCCAGTAAATCCACAATGTTGACGTCAGCCAACCGCTCACCCACACGATGCAACACAAGCTGTCTGCCATCTGCCCTGAACAGTAAAAACATCTGTCAACAGAACACCTCTCCAACGTCCCAGACGCCATCAAATGTGAGCATTTGCCCACTCAAGTTGGTCACAATGACAAACTGGAGTCAGGTCCAGACCCCGATGAGGACAACGATCATGCAGATGAGCTTCTCTGAGACGGTTTCTGACAGTTTTTGCAGAAATTCTTTGGTTATGCAAACCGATTGTTGCTGCAGCTGTCCGGGTGGCTGGTCTCCACCTGGTCGACCATTCTGGAGGTGAACATGCTGGATGTGGAGGTCCTGGGCTGGTGTGGTCTGCAATTCTGAGGCCGGTTGGATGTACTGCCAAATTCTCTGAAACGCCTTTGAAGACAGCTTATGGCAGAGAAATTAACATTCATTTCACAGGCAACAGCTCTGGTAGACAATCCTGCAGTCAGCATGGCAACTGCACGCTCCCTCAAAAGCTGCGACATCTGTAGCATTGTATTGTGTGATCAAACTGCATATTTCAGAGTGGCCTTTTATTGTGGGCAGTCTAAGGCACACCTGTGCAATATTCATGCTTTCTAATCAGCACCTTGACATGCCACACCTGTGAGGTGGGATGATTATCTCGGCAAACGAGAAGTTCTCACTAAAACAGATTTAGACAGATTTGTGAACAATATTTGATAGTAATGGGTCCTTTGTGTATGTAGAAAATGTTTCAGATCTTTAAGTTCAGCTCATGAAAAATGAGCAAAACAAAAGTGTTGTGTTTATATTTTTGTTGAGTGTATATAGTAGACATAGCCTTAGGAGGATATGATCACGGTTTTCACAAACTACAAAGTAGTTTCAGCTATAACATCGATTCACAAGCTATAACACTGGAGCGATGCCTTGAAGTGAAGTGCCAATATTTTTGAATCAGCCACAATATTAGAACCACCAGCCCATTCTCATTGAGGTAATACCATTTTGTCAAAAAATACTGGTGTGGCCCATTTCCTTCCATTTTCTCTGCCATGATACACCGTTTTATGGCTTTAGTGAGACAGGCCAGGTACTTCCAATTCCTAACTTGTCAGTGATTGTGATTACTCTTGAGAATAGGTATATTTTACCCCAAAATAAGATTGTTTTATGGATCTAACGAAGCAGTTTTTAAACCTCATACCTTACCCAGGATATTTCACTAGTTAAATCTAATCAGTCTTAGGGGCCTAAACTTAACAAGAAAGTAAAAAGTGTGTAAAAAAACAACACAAATCTGTAAGAGAGGAAAGAAAGACAGAATGATCCCACACAGGTTTCCAAATCATGGTATCTTGGCTGACATACCTGCAACTTATACCACCACTAGTCCCTGAACCTACTAATGTAGGTCTCTAAGATCGGTTCACTTCTTAACGGTTGATATTGCTGGGACTAACTAGCACTGTATTACTACTTAGGATGGGAAGTCGTTGGAACCACTGTCAGATAATTGAATAATATTCTGCTGAATATAAAGTTCTGCTGGTAAACTTTGGGCCTTGGATTTCATGTGGTTGTTACTTTGAAATGTAGCATTTCAAAGTCGTTGCATATCAAGGACACTTGTTGACCTAGGCTACAAACAACAGACAGATTCCAAACTAATATGTCGGATATGACATAACAAGCACAATTCATAAAGACCCAAACCCACTGCCAAGATGCCTGACATCACAGATACACTCACAGAAATGTGTACCATTTTTGAGGCAGAGCTGTTTTGTAAATAAACCCAATTCCAAAAAGATTGGGTTTGTGTAAAAAGTAAATCAAAACACAATGTAGTGATTGGTAGAACTTAGAAACTTGTATTTATAACAACAGAACACAGAAAACATCAAATGTTTAAACAGAAATTTTGCTATTTTATGAAAAATCTTTTCATGAAAAATTCATGAAAAATTATTTTTTAATTTGATTGCACAAACAAACAAAAAGAAAAGACAGAAAAGGCTGAAAAAGAAGAAACAGTATGAAGAATATTTTGTCTGCTTTGCAGAAGATCAGTAACATTATTGGGTGTAAAAAGACTATCTTATAGAAGCAGTGTTTCTTAGAAGTAAAGATGTGCAAAGGTTTACCAATCTGCAAAAAAAGGCAAATAATTGTGGAACAATTTCAGTTTGTGTTCGCATCTACAGCACAAAGTGCATAAGAGAATCTGGAATAATCTCTGTGTGCAAGAGACAAAGCTGAAGGCTGAAAATCAGTAAATCAGTATGTAGATTCTTGTGATCTTTAGGCCACACATCTGAAAGCATATTGATTTGCTCTCCTGATATTTAGACTGTAGTATTGATATTTTAACCTTTTTCACTTAGAGTAAAGATACTCTAAGCGATCAGCGTGAGTAACAAGCAGAACAATTACATTCTCTTCCACTAGACTACCTGCTCTAATTAAATGGGTTGCCAACTGCAAGTAAAACAGAAGAAAACGAAGAAGAAGAATAACAATAGATAAATATTTGAAAAGAAAAAGTAGTCAGTCTGACCTGGGTCCTGGAGAAACTTGTGACCCAGTAGAAGGCAAAAAAGGTATACTGGGGAAAAACTGAGCTAATTCTGC